AACATTACAGACTAACTAAAGTTGAAAAAGTGAAATAGCATAACAGAACTCATTTAAAATAAATCACAGTGAAACCCACAGAAAACTCTAATAACCTTGGGGTTTGAAAACACGTATCATCTTTACATAGTCAAGTAATAATCTTCCATTCTAATAATAATCTATTTGAATAATCTTTAAAAGTTTTAACAGTGTAGCGAAAGTGTTTAGAACTTCCAATCAAACTTTCTATGAGTTAACCAAGAGTTTCTCAGGCTCACTCTTAAGAACAGTCTTAATTTTGGTCATCATGGGCTGAACTCCGGCCTCCCCATCTGAATGGTGATCACAGTCTTCAGCCAGACGCCTCTTCTTGGGCATGGGCATGCCTTCCTCCAGCAGGGCATCTACATCATTGTCAAAGTCCTCCTGGAAGAATAGGTGGGTTAGTAACTGGCAGCCACTGACACGTCATCAACTAAACGTACAACAAGATTTGAATCAAGCCCATTTTGTGAGCTGTAATTCAAATCTTTTTCAAATGGACCACCTTGTTACAGTCCAGGATCCTTCCTGATGAATAAAAGACACGCACTCTATTTGTGGTAGATGCACATTTCAGGAGATGTTTTGATTGATTTGGCATTTACAGGTTTAGACGGCAATAATATTATCTTTAATTAGCCAACGTAATGTTTCAATTTGAACAAATAAAACTGCCAAAATCAAAGGAAGCATAATAAGACCATGCATTTTACCTCATAAGAGTTATTCAGGTCCTCCTCGTGCGCTTGCTCCTGCTGAACTATCATCTGAGACCTGAAACCACTCTGCTCTCCATATTCCGCTTCCAGAAAGTTCTCGCTGAAATCTTCCAGGTCGTCCAACACGGCAAACTCAACCTTGTTCTCCTGCTCTGCCTCCAGCTCTCCACTGTTTCCAACTAACCCTAAGGAACCAGTGGTCATGGTCGAGCTGCCCGGCACACTTCTCTGCTCTAAAGAATCATGCAATTCACCATTCAGTCCTTCTAGGCTCTGCTCTTCATCGCTAACCTGCCCCAAACCGGTATACACCTTCCTGTCTTTGCTCTTACTGCTGTCTGAGAAACTGACACTGATCTTTACATCTCTGAGGAGTTTGAGATCAGGTAAGAACTTGGTAACTGGGGGAGCATGGCGAGCGGTTCTAGGGCACGTGGCCATGGGGTCAGGGCTACCTGATGGGTGACTGCTAACGGACAATGTGTGCTTGTTGAAGAAGAGCTGTTCATCCCTGTCCACTGCTGGGGTGTGTTGGTGTCCATCACCACCAGAGCTAAC